TCAACTGCCAAGAGGCCTTCTTTCCTTTTATACTAGTCCTTCTCAGCACAGACCCTTCACGGGTGTCAGGCTGGGGCACAATCAGGTCTTTCCCTTCCCACGAGGCCATATTTCAGACTATCTCATGAGGAGAAACCTTGGACAATACCTAGCTTTCCTAGGCAGAGGTCCCTGCGACCTTCAACCTTTGACAGTGTATGTGTCCCTGGGTACTTAAGATTAAGAGAATGGTGATGACTCTTCACAAGCATGCTGCCTTCAGGCACTTGTTTAACAAAGCACACCCTGCACAGCCCCAAATCCATTAAACCTTGAGTCACCACAGCACATGTCTCTTGCAAGGACAGGGTTGGGGGTAGGGTCACAGATTAACAGCATCTCAAATACAGAACAAAATGGAGTCTCTTATGTCTACTTCTTTCTATATAGACACAATAACAGTCTGATCTCTTTCTTTTCCCCACATATTATTAGTGTATAGAAATACCAGTGATTTTTGTGTGCTGATTTTGTATCCTGCAACTTCACTGAATTCACTTATGAATTATTTATTATGAAATATTCATAAATAAATTATTATGAATATTTATGAATTCAGTGTTGTACTTATATGTGTGTGTGTGTTTGTGTGTGTGTGTATGTAATTTTAGGGCTTTCTACATATAAAAATCACGTTGTCCAACAATAGAGGTAATTTTACTTTTGGAATATATTGAATGCCTTTCACTTCTTTTTCTTTTCTAACTGCTCTGGCTAGGACTTCCAGTACTATTTCAAATAGAAGTGGTGAGGGTGGGCATCTTTATCTTGTTCCTGGTCTTAAGAGGAAAAGTCTTAGTCTTTCACCATGGAGAATTATGTTAGCTGTGGGCTTTTCATATATGGCCTTTATTATGTTGATGTAGTTTTCTTCTATTCCTAGTTTTTTGTTTTTTGTTTTTTTTAGTTTTTCTGTCATGGAAAGAGTGTTAAATTTTGCCAAGTGCTTTTTCTCCATCAGTCAAGATAGTCATCTGGTTTTTCCTTTTCATTCTGTTAATGTGTTCTATTACACAGATTGATTTTCATGTTGAACCATCCCTGCATTCCAGGAATAAATCTCACTTGGTCATGGTGTATAATCCTTTTAATAAGCTGTTGAATTCTGTTTGCTAATAGTTTGTTGAAGATTTTTGCATCAGTATTCATTAGGGATATTGGTCTATAGTTTTCTTCTAATGTCTTTGGTTTTAGTGACAGGGTAATGCTGGTCTCTCACTTCGCCTTTTGAGTCTCAGCTTCTTCAGCTGTAATATGGAGATGATAGTAGAACTCCCTGTAAAGGGCTGTTTTGCAGATTAAATGAGGGAATGAATACAAAGTGCTTTGGTAAGGCCCAGTTCACAGGAAGTTCTCAAAATATGTTAGCTGCTAATAATAATAAAAACAGAACAGCAGTTAATCTCATAATGAGACAGCTCAGCAGCGTGGAGCTTATACATTCAGCCTATGTTAGCAGCAGAGCTTTCTACCAACATCAGTTTTTTTGTAGTTATCTAAATACAGGAGGGAGTGATATTATCAGGCAGTCCTCAGAAACTCCCTTGACCTAACCTGAGGCAGAGGCTTGTCCCATTTTGTGGTATCATCCAAAACTTCCTGCTGGCTTTGATTTCTTAATCACAGCTTGACAGCTTTTGAGGAGCTGAAAGTAATGGGATTTGGGAAGAGAAGAACAAAATGCAACACATAGAATTTATCTCTTTGATGAGTTATTGAGAGTTCATAGGCTGGGTGCAGTGGCTCACACCTGTAATCCCAGCACTTTTGGAGGCTGAGGTGGGTGGATCACCTGAGGTCCGGAGTTTGAGACCAGCCTGGCTAACATAGTGAAACCCTGTCTCTACTAAAAATACAAAATTAGCTGGGTGTGGTGGCACGCCCCTGTAATCCCAGCTACTCAGGAGGCTGAGGCAGGAGAATCGCTTGAACCTGGGAGGCAGAGGTTGCAGTGAGGCAGGATCGTGCCACTGCACTCTAGCCTGGGTGACAGAGCAAGACTCCATCTCCAAAAAAAGAAAAAGAGAGAGAGAGAGAGTTCTTAGAACACAAAGAAATGTGGTCAATAGGAATGGAGATGAAGATGATGTGGGTAGTATTTCCCAAAGAGCTAATATGTTTTCACGTTTATTTAATAAACTTTATTTTTTTGTTTGTTTGTTTTGAGACCGGGTCTCACTCTGTTGCCCAGGCTGGAGTGTAGTGCTGCCATCATGACTCACTGCAGCCTCAACTTCCTGTGCCAAAGCAATCTTCCCACCTCAGCCTCCCAAGTAGTTAAGACCACAGGTGTTGGCCGGGCGCGGTGGCTCAAGCCTGTAATCCCAGCACTTTGGGAGGCCGAGGCGGGTGGATCACGAGGTCAGGAGATCGAGACTATCCTGGCTAACATGGTGAAACCCCATCTCTACTAAAAATACAAAAAACTAGCCGGGTGGGGTGGCGGGCGCCTGTAGTTCCAGCTACTTGGAAGGCTGAGGCGGGAGAATGGCGTGAACCCGGGAGGCGGAGATTGCAGTGAGCCGAGATCACGCCACTGCACTCCAGCCTGGGAGACACAGCGAGACTCTGTCTCAAAAAAAAAAAAAAAAAAAAAAAAAAAAAAAAAAAAAAAAAAAGACCACAGGTGTGCACCACCACAGCTGGCTAATTTTTTTTTTATTTTTGTAGAGATAGAGTCTCCCTATGTTGCCCAGGCTGATCTTGAACTCCTGGGTTCAAGCCTCCTGTCTCGGCCCCGCAAAGTGCTGGCATTTCAGGCATGAGCCAACATGCCTGGCCTAGACTTTTTCTTTTTTTTTTTTTTTTTTTAGCAGTTACAGGTTCATAGAAAGATGAGCAGATAGTACAGATAGTTCCCATACATAACAACCCCTCCCCCACCACACTCACACATACACACACGGTTTCCCCTATTATTAACATCTTCCTTACCATGATACATTTGTTGCAATTGATGAATCAATATTCATATGTTATTAACTCAAGCCCAGAGTTTACATTAGGATTCATTCTTCACATTATAACGTTCTATGGGTTTTGACATAGGCATAATGTCAGGTATTCACCAATACAGAATCATACAGAATAGTTGCACTGCCCTCAAGTTCCCCTGTGCCCTACCTGCTCAACACAGCCCCCCACCTTCCCGTGAACCCTGGCGACCACAAATCTTTCTATAGTTGTATCTCTTTAAAAGTTTCATGTAGTTGAAATCATATAATACGTAGCCCTTTTAGATTAGCTTTGTTCACTAAGCAATATGCATTTAAAGTTCCTCTGTATCTTTTTGTGGCTTGAGAGCTCATTTCTTTTTATCATTGACGAATGTTTCATTGTATATATGTACCAGTTTGTTTATCCATTTACCTTCTGAAGAACATTTTGGTTGCTTCCAGTTTTTGGCAATTGTGAATAAAGATGCTATAAACATGTATCCAAAATAAATGAGTCTTAAAACCCAACAATAAGAAAACAGCCCAAATTAAAGATGGACAAAAGATCTGAACAGATACTTTGCCAAAGAAGATATACAGATGGCAAATAAGCATATGAAAAGATTTTAAACATCATATTTCACTTGGTAATTACAAATAAAAGAAGATAGCTCCCCGTTTATTTTTTTCTTTAGCGTCTTGATGCAATGGATTGCATTAATTGATTTTCAAACGCCAAATCAGTTCTCAGATACCTGGAATAAATCCCACTTGGTTGTGGTGTATAATTATTTTTATACAGTATTGGATTATATTCGCTAATATTTTGTTGAAGACTTTGCGTCTATGTATATGAGAGATACTGGCTTGTAGTTTTTCTTCCTTGTAATGTCTTTATCTCGATTGGGTATTCGGGTGATATTGACCTCCCGGAATAAGTTAGGAAGTATTCCCCCTGCTTCTATTTTCTAGAAGAGATTGTAGGGAGCTGGTATCATTTCTTCCTTAAATGTTTGATAGAATTCACCAGGGAACCCATCTGGGCCTCGTGCTTTCTGTTTTAGAAGGTTATTAACTATTGATTCAAATTCTTTAATAGATAAGGGCCCAGACCATCTATTCCTCTTTGTATAAGTTTGGGTAGGTTGTGTCTTTCAAGAAATTGGTTCATTTCATCTAAGTTATCAAATTTGTGGACAGAGAGCTATTTATAATATTCCTTTATATATCATTATAAATATATAAAACAATAATATAATTAATATATAAATTATAAATATAAATTTTATATATAATATATATTTGTAAAATAAATATTTTATATTTTAATATTTTATATTATAATAATATTTTATATATTATAAATATATAAATATATATAAACTATGTATGTAGGTGTGATTAGTTTTGTTTTTTAAAAAATTAAAAGAACGTAAGTATAGAAAAAAACGTGGAAGGATGTGAACCTCAATGTTAACCATGACTGCTGCTGGTTGGGGTGGGAGTATAAGTAACGGTAACGACTTCTTTAGTGCTTTTCTCTGTTTCTTGTTTGGGCCATTTCTGCCTCCTGTCCTGGTACTGAGTGCCACCATAAGTACCCAAGTGGAGTTAGGGAAATAAAAAATGGCCAATTCCTTGACCATTTCACTTTTAGTAAAATTTAAAAAATAATAATAAAAACAAAAAGAAAAGAAAATGGTCAATTCCCTGGTCCCATATTTGCCCAATAAGACTCTCCCAAGATCCCTTTGCCTTTGTGTTGCCTGATTTCCCCACCCAACAACTTAGGTACCTGTCCCCAGGTCTGGTGTCAGACAGAGCACATATCCCAGCTCCTTCATGCACTAGCTGTGTGGCCTTGCGCGTCGCTTAACCTCTCTGATCCTCAGCATCCTCCTTTTAAAATGAGGATTGTCATGATGATCTGGCGGCAGCAACACAGGTAAAGCACTCAGCTCGAAACATTAGGGGCCGTGTCATTTTTGTTTTCATGGCTACGACTGTCCTTCTTCTCCGTTGCAGTCTCCTGACATCGACAACCACCATGCACTCATCGAATATAACGAGGCGGAGTGCAGCTTTGTTCTCCAGGACTTCAATTCCCGCAACGGCACGTTTGTCAACGAGTGCCACATTCAGAACGTGGCTGTGAAGCTCATCCCTGGAGACATCCTGAGATTTGGGTCTGCAGGGCTGACCTATGAACTGGTCGTTGAAAACCCACCTCCGGTGAGTCTGGGCCACTGGGGGATAGAGGGGCCGTGTCACCTTCGTGCAGCCCGGCACTCAGATGCAGCCGCAGGGTGGCGCTCAACCGCAGCGGTGCCACTGTGATCCCAGGCTGCACACAGGCGGTAGCGACAGAGTCGACCCTGTGGAGTTCTGAGTCATTCTGGCGGGTCCCAGGAAGGAGAGAATCTTAGCACCCTCTTCTGGGCATTTCTTGGAATTGCATCTTGGCTCAAATAGAACCAGAGTTTTCCAAAAATGTGCAACTTCCTGAGAGGAGGCAGAAAACAAGGTGCGTTTTTGAAAATGCAGAGATGGATTTCATTTTTAGGCAGATCAGCGCTCTGCTCCTTCCTAGCTCTGTGACCTGGGCCAGACTTCTTCATATGCCCAGGTCTCTGCCTTCTTAACGGCACAAGGCATCGAGAGAATGTCTGTAGAGCCTGAAACTCAGTGTCCAAGTAGACGCTCAACACGTGAGCACCTGAAAAGCCAAATCTGTGAAGTCCGAGCCAGTGTTACCCTAAACATGTCTGATTATAAGAATTTGAGGGCCGGGCGCGGTGGCTCACGCCTGTAATCCCAGCACTTTGGGAGGCCGAGGCAGGTGGATCACGAGGTCAGGAGATGGAGACCATCCTGGCTAACACCGTGAAACCCCGTCTCTACTAAAAATACAAAAAATTAGCCGGGCGTGGTGGCGGCGCCTGTAGTCCCAGCTTCTCAGGAGGCTGAGGCAGGAGAATGGCGTGAACCCGGAAGGCGACGGAGCTTGCAGTGAGCCGAGATCGCGTCACTGCACTCCAGTCTGGGAGACAGAGTGAGACTCCGTCTCAAAAAAAAAAAAAAAAGGAATTTGAGGGGGACTGTTCAGTAAAATTACAGGTTCCCAGGGCCCCTCCATGGGAAATTCTAATTTTGTGACTTGCCAGTGGGGGAGGAGGAGGACGCACAATATCTGTATTTCTTTTTTTTCATACAGAGATATTTATTGAAGTATTATTTGTAGTGGCATAACATTTTAAACCTAAATGCCCATCAAAAGGGGCATTGTTTAATAAAATATAAGGGATTCATTCTTATGTGGATAACTATGCTGCTTTTTTTTAAAATGCAGCTTTATTGAGGTATAGTTGACATACAATAAAACTGTGCATGTCCAAAGCACATCATTTGCTAGGTTTGGGCACGTGGATATACCTGCGAAGCCATCACCACAACCAAGGCAGTGAGTGCGCTCGTCACACTACAGGGTTCCTCATGAACTTAGCATTTGTTTGATTCTTTGTTTTCAACAGCTTTATAGAAGTATAATTTATGCAGCATAAACCCTGCCCATTTTAAGCATACAGTTCAACACATTTTAGTGTATTTACAGAGGGGTGCAGCCGTCACTACAAGCCACTTTCAGAACATTGCCATCACCACGTCCTAGAAAGAAACCTGTGAGATACTTGACGTTTTGTGTTGGTTTGTGCAATTAAAAAAAATTTATTATTATAATTTAAGTTCTAGGGTACATGTGCACAACGTGCAGGTTTGTTACATATGGATACATGTGCCATGTTGGTGTGCTGCACCCGTTAACTCATCATTTACATTAGGTATATCTCCTAATGCTGTCCTTACCCCTACCCCTACCCCACAACAGGCCCTGGTGTCCAAGTCCACCCTGTGTCCAAGTGTTTTCATTGTTCAATTTCCACCGATGAGTGAGAACATGTGGTGTGTGGTTTTCTGTCCTTGTGATAGTTTGCTCAGAATGATGGTTTCCAGCTTCATTCATGTCCCTACAAAGGACATGAACTCATCCTTTTTTATGGCTGCATAGTATTCCATGGTGTATATGTGCCACATTTTCTTAATCCAGTCTATCATTGATGGACATTTGGCTTGGTTCCAAGTCTTTGCTATTGTGAATAGTGCCACAATAAACATACATGTGCATGTGTCTTTATAGCGGCATGATTTATAATCCTTTGGGTATATACCCAGTAATGGGATGGCTGGGTCAAATGGTATTTCTAGTTCTAGATCCTTGAGGAATCGCCACATTGTCTTCCACAATGGTTGAACTAGTTTACAATCCCACCAACAGTGTAAAAGTGCTCCTATTTCTCCACATCCTCTCCAGCACCTGTTGTCTCCTGACTTTTTAATGATCACCATTCTAACTGGTGTGAGATGGTATCTCATTGTGGTTTTGATTTGCATTTCTCTGATGGCCAGTGATGAGCATTTTTTCATGTGTCTGTTGGTTGCATAAATGTCTTCTTTTGAGAAGTGTCTGTTCATATCCTTTGCCCACTTTTTGATGCGGTTGTTTGATTTTTTCTTGTAAATTTGTTTAAGTTCTTTGTAGATTCTGGATATTAGCCCTTTGTCAGATGGGTAGATGGTAAAAATTTTCTCCCATTCTGTAGGTTGCCTATTCACTCTGATGGTAGTTTCTTTTGCTGTGCAGAAGCTCTTTAGTTTAATTAGATCTCATTTGTCAATTTTGGCTTTTGTTGCCATTGCTTTTGGTGTTTTAGTCATGAAGACCTTGCCCATGCCTATGGCCTGAATAGTATTGCCTAGGTTTTCTTCTAGGGTTTTTATGGTTTTAGGTCTAACATTTAAGTCTTTAATCCATCTTGAATTAATTTTTGTATAAGGTGTAAGGAAGGGATCCAGTTTCAGCTTTCTACATATGGCTAGCCAGTTTTCCCAGCACCATTTATTAAACAGGGAATCCTTTCCCCATTTCTTGTTTTTGTCAGGCTTGTCAAAGATCAGATGGTTGTAGATGTGTGGTATTATTTCCGGGGGCTCTATTTTGTTCCATTGGTCTATATCTCTGTTTTGGTACCAGTACCATGCTGTTTTTGTTACTGTAGCCTTGTAGTGTAGTTTGAAGTCAGGTAGTGTGATGCCTCCAGCTTTGTTCTTTTGGCTTACGATTGTCTTGGCAATGTGGGCTCTTTTTTGGTTTCATGTGAACTTTAGTTTTTTCCAATTCTGTGAAGAAAGTCATTGGTAGCCTGATGGGGATGGCATTGAATCTATAAATTACCTTGGGCAGTATGGCCATTTTCACAATATTGATTCTTCCTATCCATGAACATGGAATGTTCTTCCATTTGTTTGTGTCCTCTTTTATTTTGTTGAGCAGTGGTTTGTAGTTCTCCTTGAAGAGGTCCTTCACATCCCTTGTAAGTTGGATTCCTGGGTATTTTATTCTCTCTGAAGCAATTGTGAATGGGAGTTCACTCATGATTTGGCTCTCTGTTTGTCTGTTATTGGTGTATAAGAATGCTTGTGATTTTTGCACATTGATTTTGTATCCTGAGACTTTGCTGAAGTTGCTTATCAGCTTAAGGAGATTTTGGGCTAAGACGATGGAGTTTTCTAAATATACAATCATATCATCTGCAAACAGGGACAATTTGACTTCCTCTTTTCCTAACTGAATACCCTTTATTTCTTTCTCTTGCCTGATTGCCCTGGCCCGAACTTCCAACACTATGTTGAATAGGAGTGGTGAGAGAGGGCATCCCTGTCTTGTGCCAGTTTTCAAAGGGAATGCTTCCGGTTTTTGCCCATTCAGTATGATATTGGCTGTGGGTTTGTCATAAATAGCTCTTATTATTTTGAGATACATCCCATCAATACCTAGTTTATTGAGAGTTTTTAGCATGAAGGGCTGTTGAATTTTGTCGAAGGCCTTTTCTGCATCTATTGAGATCATCATGTGGTTTTTGTCTTTGGTTCTGTTTATATGATGGATTATGTTTATTGATTTGCATATGTTGAACCAGCCTTGCATCCCAGGGATGAAGCCAACTTGATCGTGGTGGATAAGCTTTTTGATGTGCTGCTGGATTCAGTTTTCCAGTATTTTATTGAGGATTTTTGCATCGATGTTCATCAGGGATATTGGTCTAAAATTCTCTTTTTTTGTTGTGTCTCTGCCAGGCTTTGGTATCAGCATGATGTTGGCCTCATAAAATGAGTTAGGGAGGATTCTCTCCTTTTCTATTGATTGTAATAGTTTCAGAAGGAATGGTACCAGCTCCTCTTTGTGCCTCTGGTAGAATTCGGCTGTGAATCCGTCTGGTCCTGGACTTTTTTTGATTGGTAGGCTATTAATTATTGCCTCAATTTCAGAGCCTGTTATTGGTCTATTCAGGGATTCAACTTCTTCCTGGTTTAGTCTTGGGAGGGTGTATGTGTCCAGGAATTTATCAATTTCTTCTCGATTTTCTAGTTTATTTGCGTAGAGGTGTTTATAGTATTCTCTGATGTCAGTTTGTATTTCTGTGGGATCGGTGGTGATATCCCTTTTGTCATATTTTATTGCATCTATTTGATTCTTCTCTCTTTTCTTCTTTATTAGTCTTGCTAGCGGTCTATTAATTTTGTTGATCTTTTAAAAAAAAACCAGCTCCTGGACTCATTGATTTTTGAAGGGTTTTTTGTGTCTCTGTCTCCTTCAATTCTGCTCTGATATTAGTTATTTCTTGCCTTTTGCTAGCTTTTGAATGTGTTTGCTCTTGCTTCTCTAGTTCTTTTAATTGTGATGTTAGGGTGTCAATTTTAAATCTTTCCTGCTTTCTCTTGTGGGCATTTAGTGCTATAAATTTCCGTCTACACACTGCTTTAAATGTGTCCCAGAGATTCTGGTATGTTGGGTCTTTGTTCTCATTGGTTTCAAAGAACATCTTTATTTCTGCCTTCATTTTATTATGTACCCAGTAGTCATTCAGGAGCAGGTTGTTCAGTTTCCATGTAGCTGAGCGGTTTTGAGTGAGTTTCTTAATCCTGAGTTCTAGTTTGATTGCGCTGTGGTCTGAGAGACAGTTTGTTATAATTTCTGTTCTTTTACATTTGCTAAGGAGTGCTTTACTTCCAACTATGTGGTTAATAAGTGTGATGTGGTGCTGAGAAGAATGTATATTCTGTTGATTTGGGGTGGAGAGTTCTATAGATGTCTATTAGGTCTGCTTGGTGCAGAGCTG